GGGGGGGGGACAGGGAGAAGAGGAGCAGAGGAGGGGGAGGAAGGGTGATAGGAAAGAGGCCACGTTGCACAGACCCTTCAGCATTCCAGACACCCTCCTCTTCTTTTTCACGTGAATCTCATGAAGATTATTTTTACATTACTTTTAAGTGCCGGAAAGCGCGGGATGAGCCCGGTGCAGCCTGTCTGGACCGTCAGCTGGCAGCAGCAGCTCCCGCCCCTCCCCCCGCTCCGGCGCTGCCTCCCTGGCTCCTGCCACACCAAGTTTGCCTTCAGCAATTCCAGCTCCTGGATTTGAAAACGACTCTGCAAGAGGGGGCAGCCATGCCTAGGTATCACACGGAAACTCCTTTCCAAGCATCAACACACATTATACCAGGAAACATCGGGGGTAACAAATATCACTGAGAAGGAAATTTGCCACACAACAGTGAAGTTTAAAGTAGGTTGAGCCTAACACAGGCAATCTACGCTGGGAATGATCTCCGTGACGAGCCCCTTGTACAGCGGCTGTGTACAGTGGCTGCGTACAAAGGCTGTGTGCTAGTGCAGTCGTGTCATCACACTTCTGACAGCGTGCTCATTTTATACAACAGCTTTTCTACATCATGGCTTTCTTAAGCATTCACACCGGGCCACCTCGGCTCCTAACTCTGCTCTAAGCAGCTGTGTGTATGGCCCATCACACACCTAGCTATAAAATTTATTTCTAGGGAATAGATGTCGGTAGTGTGAGCCAGACACGTCTGGGACCAAATTCTTTTCTTAGCTAATCGCATGCAATTTCTCTTGCTTTGAGAAAACTGTGCCAAGGTGATGGAGAAAGAATTTGGCCCACAGTCTGCCTTTTCCCCACCACACAGACAGACTTAGGGTTTTCAGAAGGAAGCTCTCAGAGCACCTGGCTGAAAAATAACAGCCAGAAAAACCCAGAACATGTGGATGAAAATTAGGAGCTGAAAGAAAGTAAATAAACTAAATGGGTTTCCCTCTCTAACAGCACACGTTTTTCCTTCAATCATCTGCACTGCAATGAAAGGTGATGATATTGCTCCATTTACAGAGTTTTTCCTGGCCTGTCCCCAAGGCCACAATACAGTGTGTTTATTTGGTTTTCATAAGGTCAAAGAAGCATACTTGGGTAACACAGAAACTTTACTATGGACTTTCACCTTCGCGATCTTAAACCAAGTGTGACAGTTGCAATGAAAAATATTTACTTCTGTTTACATAGGGGGGGGGGGGTGTGCTTTTGGAAGAGAGGAGGCTTTCAGTGTCATTCCACATCCTTCTCAAATGCTTTTCTAAAAATTATTTATTACACACAAGGGGAAAAAGAAGAAAATGGCAAGATTGAAGCTTTACAATGTTCCCATTGCTGATCCTCTCAAGCCACCTATCACAAGAGAAGTCAGGCACATCCAGGGAGTTATTCACACCGATCTGTACAGAAGAATTCCAGCAATAAGAACTGATGTAGCTGAAGATGTCAGTTAAGCAACCTGATCTGGTTGAAGATGACCCTGCTCATTGCGGGGGGCTTGGACTAGATGACCTTTAAAGGTCTCTTCCAACCCAAACTATTCTATGATTCTATGATACTGTTATTACGGATCACATACCTGGGGCTACTGTGCTCACATACTACTTTAAATAGGTGGGCAGAAGCTGCACTAAGCAAGTCATGTGCAACACTGCTTTTTCCATGGGAGCCAAAAAAACGCTGGCATAGCTTATCAACTTACTTTATCTGGAAACGTCAACAGGCTGGAACTTCATGTACTTACACACCCTGCGCCGTAGTTTGTAAAAACAGGCCATCAAGCATGCACAGTACCCAAAAGGCGGTCTGTCCTACTCTGTACGTCCCCAAACTCTGTGGTCTATTTGGCGACGGTCCTTTTTCTGTTTGTAGTGGCCACGGAAACAGCCAGAAATCAAGAAGATTGGGAGCCTGACATCGGTCCTCAACTTGGTCTCACTTTTCCAGAAGGAACAAGTGCAAATGAAATCATCCCTCCTTACTCAAGCAAAGAACAACTGGCAAAATTCTATACTCGTCAGACACCTCCAGAGGTCAGAACATGCCAGACAGGGAAGGACGTGAGCTGATGCTGAAGTCCCACCAACAACTCTGGACAAGCCTGCACTGGCTTTGACCCTGCAGCACAAGGACTACAGTGACCACATGGGAATGTAACTTCCCTCAGATCCAAGTCCCTGTCTGACACAGAAAGGGAAGAAGAAGAGACATGATAAAATTCACACTGATGTCACTAGAGACATCATCAAGCTGTCTTACACCAGTGATTTTCAAGATGCAGTCCTCAGAACTCAGGCAGTTTCCATGAATTACTGCTGACATCCATGAGAGATGAGTAATTAGAGGAAGCCTACTGTCAGGAGAACTTCCTGATGGAAAGTTTTGAGTTATTCATGTTGAAAGTGTTGACAACCAGTACCCTAGGTGATGAGTTGCAAACAGTTTCTCTGAGCCTTTGAATGCCTTGGGTGGGGGTTGACAGGTGATGGTCTTCCTCCTCCCACCTACGTACTAAGTTATATTCACTCCTTCCTAATTTAGCTCCTCCTGTTGAATTCCAAGCAGCTTCCTTGAGTAATCACCTCTGAAACAGAGACTACAATACAACAGATCCTAAGCTCTCCCTAGATGGCAGACACATGAAAAGGTTAACCATGTTCTTAACCCCCTCTGCCTGCACCAACGTGACAGAAGCAGGAATCCCTTTTGAGGTAACAGGAGAACAACATCAGATGAGCTGGGCAACAGCTTTAAGGACAATTCTTCACAGAAGGTGGCAGCTAGGCATCCTCAGCTCTACTATGACGAGCCTAGTAGAAACCTACCTATTAATTATTAATATATGGTATTATGAGGTATAAACATATAATATTTATAATAAGCGTACAGCTACATAGAAAATGTCTTAAATCTGCTTTTTAAGTTACAGCTGCTGTAACTCGCATGGCTATTAAGTTACAGACAATACAGCTAAATTAACTCTCACTCAGACCAAGCAAACTAGGTGATTTTACTGATCTCAGAGAAGACAGACACAGGAAGCACTCCAAGAAAACCATTTTTTCTTTCTATTTAGAAAACCAGATATTTTTTATCCTTCACTCCAATTCTGCTAGCCAAACCAGTGAAGTTTTGAATCCCAGCAGCAAAATAAAAGAAAAACAAACCAGATGTGATTCCACCCTCCAGGCGATGCAAAACTGTACAAAACGAGTCCATAACCCTTCCTTTGTGTATTGACCTCTTAATACAGAGTGTACCATCACTGCTGCCAATTTGCACACACAGCCATACTCAAGTCTGGGAAATGGTTGTCCTTAATTCCTTCTCCACAACTTTAATTGTGCCGCTGCTTTGCCTTGCCTATGACAGGACCGCAGAGCTTCCACCTTTTCTCAGAGAACGGCTGATCAGCGGAACAAGATGTTCCTTCCTTACTTCTTCGTTCTAGATGTACTGTTTCTGCAGCCATCAAGGCCTACCTGCACAAACAATAAATAATACCTAATCCTCAAAATAGTGATTAAACTTGCTCATTACTGCTACAGCATCAGTCACCTGCCTCTTACACTACGTCCCACGTGAAGGAGGTGTAAGAAAGGAAGCATCTAGGAGAGAAAAGCAGGTCTGCAATAGGTTTTAAGAACTACTCCCTGAATGCCTGATGAGCCAGTGAAGAATTTGCCCCCAGCACAGAGGATGGAGCTGCTTGCATCCCAACCAACCCTCTGTAGCCCTGCAAAGGACAGGAAGATGCTGTTAACATTCAGTGAGGTCAAAGCAACTGCAGTTGTGCTGCACACCTGGCAGTTTTCAAAAAAGCTCCCGCACGTTTGCACACAATGCAAAGCACAGAAAGGAGTAAGCAGTCTGACATTAGCTGGTGCCACAGAAATTCAATAAAATACAGAACCAAAGGTAAAAACCATAGCAATTCACACACTCCTGCTGCTTTCTTCCCCCGTCCCGTTTTCTTCAGGCTATACTCCACTCACTCTCTTCTTTCACAGTTGCTGTTTTTGCCCTTTTCACTCCCTGCATTATTTCCACTTCCCTTTAAAAAGTTGATTTTTACACTTCACAGATTCCCTCAGCTTCTTAATTAATTTATCACACATTCCCCCACCACCTTACCCATTTTCCACAGGGGACCTCCAATATCCTTTATTTCCCCCAATTATTTGCCCCTGTTCTATTCTCAAAATAAACACACAAACATGTTCTAAACTAAAAGGAACAGCCACTGCAGATGCAGTCAGTCATTTGCCTGACCTCATACCACTGCATGGTA